TATATATATATATATATATATTGATGTCCAACAGCAAGTTATAAGCTTATAAAAGACGAGAACATGTTAATGTGAATATGAATACGAACACAGTCACTGCTTTATTATATATATATATATATATTTTGATGTCCAACAGCAAGTTATAAGCTTATAAAAAACGAGAACATGTTAATGTGAATATGAATACGAACACAGTCATTGCTTTATTATATATATATATATATATATATATATTGATGTCCAGTAGCAAGTTATAAGCTTATAAAAGACGAGAACATGTTAATGTGAATATGAATACGAACACAGTCACTGCTTTATTATATATATATATATATATATTGATGTCCAACAGCAAGTTATAAGCTTATAAAAGACGAGAACATGTTAATGTGAATATGAATACGAACACAGTCACTGCTTTATTATATATATATATATATATATATTGATGTCCAACAGCAAGTTATAAGCTTATAAAAGACGAGAACATGTTAATGTGAATATGAATACGAACACAGTCACTGCTTTATTATATATATATATATATATATATATTGATGTCCAACAGCAAGTTATAAGCTTATAAAAGACGAGAACATGTTAATGTGAATATGAATACGAACACAGTCACTGCTTTATTATATGTATATATATATATATATTTATGTCCAACAGCAAGTTATAAGCTTATAAAAGACGAGAACATGTTAATGTGAATATGAATACGAACACAGTCACTGCTTTATTATATGTATATATATATATATTGATGTCCAACAGCAAGTTATAAGCTTATAAAAGACGAGAACATGTTAATGTGAATATGAATACGAACACAGTCACTGCTTTATTATATGTATATATATATATATATATATTGATGTCCAACAGCAAGTTATAAGCTTATAAAAGACGAGAACATGTTAATGTGAATATGAATACGAACACAGTCACTGCTTTATTATATATATATATATATATATATATTGATGTCCAACAGCAAGTTATAAGCTTATAAAAGACGAGAACATGTTAATGTGAATATGAATACGAACACAGTCACTGCTTTATTATATATATATATATATATTTTGATGTCCAACAGCAAGTTATAAGCTTATAAAAAACGAGAACATGTTAATGTGAATATGAATACGAACACAGTCATTGCTTTATTATATATATATATATATATATATATATTGATGTCCAGTAGCAAGTTATAAGCTTATAAAAGACGAGAACATGTTAATGTGAATATGAATACGAACACAGTCACTGCTTTATTATATATATATATATATATATTGATGTCCAACAGCAAGTTATAAGCTTATAAAAGACGAGAACATGTTAATGTGAATATGAATACGAACACAGTCACTGCTTTATTATATATATATATATATATATATTGATGTCCAACAGCAAGTTATAAGCTTATAAAAGACGAGAACATGTTAATGTGAATATGAATACGAACACAGTCACTGCTTTATTATATATATATATATATATATATATTGATGTCCAACAGCAAGTTATAAGCTTATAAAAGACGAGAACATGTTAATGTGAATATGAATACGAACACAGTCACTGCTTTATTATATGTATATATATATATATATTTATGTCCAACAGCAAGTTATAAGCTTATAAAAGACGAGAACATGTTAATGTGAATATGAATACGAACACAGTCACTGCTTTATTATATGTATATATATATATATTGATGTCCAACAGCAAGTTATAAGCTTATAAAAGACGAGAACATGTTAATGTGAATATGAATACGAACACAGTCACTGCTTTATTATATGTATATATATATATATATATTGATGTCCAACAGCAAGTTATAAGCTTATAAAAGACGAGAACATGTTAATGTGAATATGAATACGAACACAGTCACTGCTTTATTATATATATATATATATATATTGATGTCCAACAGCAAGTTATAAGCTTATAAAAGACGAGAACATGTTAATGTGAATACGAATACGAACACAGTCACTGCTTTATTATATATATATATATATATTGATGTCCAACAGCAAGTTATAAGCTTATAAAAGACGAGAACATGTTAATGTGAATATGAATACGAACACAGTCACTGCTTTATTATATGTATATATATATATATTGATGTCCAGTAGCAAGTTATAAGCTTATAAAAGACGAGAACATGTTAATGTGAATATGAATACGAACACAGTCACTGCTTTATTATATATATATATATATATATTGATGTCCAACAGCAAGTTATAAGCTTATAAAAGACGAGAACATGTTAATGTGAATATGAATACGAACACAGTCACTGCTTTATTATATATATATATATATATATTGATGTCCAACAGCAAGTTATAAGCTTATAAAAGACGAGAACATGTTAATGTGAATATGAATACGAACACAGTCACTGCTTTATTATATATATATATATATATATATTGATGTCCAACAGCAAGTTATAAGCTTATAAAAGACGAGAACATGTTAATGTGAATATGAATACGAACACAGTCACTGCTTTATTATATGTATATATATATATATTGATGTCCAGTAGCAAGTTATAAGCTTATAAAAGACGAGAACATGTTAATGTGAATATGAATACGAACACAGTCACTGCTTTATTATATGTATATATATATATTGATGTCCAACAGCAAGTTATAAGCTTATAAAAGACGAGAACATGTTAATGTGAATATGAATACGAACACAGTCACTGCTTTATTATATATATATATATATATATATATTGATGTCCAACAGCAAGTTATAAGCTTATAAAAGACGAGAACATGTTAATGTGAATACGAATACGAACACAGTCACTGCTTTATTATATATATATATATATATTGATGTCCAACAGCAAGTTATAAGCTTATAAAAGACGAGAACATGTTAATGTGAATATGAATACGAACACAGTCACTGCTTTATTATATGTATATATATATATATTGATGTCCAGTAGCAAGTTATAAGCTTATAAAAGACGAGAACATGTTAATGTGAATATGAATACGAACACAGTCACTGCTTTATTATATATATATATATATATATATATTGATGTCCAACAGCAAGTTATAAGCTTATAAAAGACGAGAACATGTTAATGTGAATATGAATACGAACACAGTCACTGCTTTATTATATATATATATATATATATTGATGTCCAACAGCAAGTTATAAGCTTATAAAAGACGAGAACATGTTAATGTGAATATGAATACGAACACAGTCATTGCTTTATTATATATATATATATATATATATATTGATGTCCAACAGCAAGTTATAAGCTTATAAAAGACGAGAACATGTTAATGTGAATATGAATACGAACACAGTCACTGCTTTATTATATGTATATATATATATATTGATGTCCAGTAGCAAGTTATAAGCTTATAAAAGACGAGAACATGTTAATGTGAATATGAATACGAACACAGTCACTGCTTTATTATATGTATATATATATATTGATGTCCAGTAGCAAGTTATAAGCTTATAAAAGACGAGAACATGTTAATGTGAATATGAATACGAACACAGTCACTGCTTTATTATATATATATATATATTATTGATGTCCAACAGCAAGTTATAAGCTTATAAAAGACGAGAACATGTTAATGTGAATATTAATACGAACACAGTCACTGCTTTATTATATATATATATATATATATATATTGATGTCCAACAGCAAGTTATAAGCTTAAAAAAGACGAGAAAATGTTAATGTGAATATGAATACGAACACAGTCACTGCTTTATTATATGTATATATATATATATTGATGTCCAACAGCAAGTTATAAGCTTATAAAAGACGAGAACATGTTATAAGCATCAATTAGGATATATTTATTTTTAATACATAATCATTAACCATAAGAATAGGTACAGAGAAGACTAGACCAACATTGTTACTTAACCGGATTTTTGACGTGCTAATGTCACAAGTGATCACAAGTTACCTGTAAACATTCCGCTAGAAGACATGTCAACCTACCTGAACACATTATTCTACCAATTTTCAAGTCATTGGTTTGACCTACCAGGGTTCGAACCCACGACCTACCGCACTAAAATCAATGGAACACGCTAGCATACAATCAGACAGTGCTGATCATAATCAGAAAAAGAAACACGAAAAAAATATTTTCAAACAATACCAAAAATATATTTCATACTTTTATTAAAGATAAATAAAAATCATGAATTGCCTTATACATTTAAGACTTCCATAGAAAGGCGCTTCATGATTGTGTTTAAATTAATTATAAATAATTATTATATTTTTGGTCAATGAATTATTTTATCGATTAGCATTTGTTGTTCAGTGAGTTGATCATAGTGTAAACATTGGTAACTATAGCGTTATCGATTCAAAAATAAACCAAGGAAAGTAATAAGCCAGCATATACTTATAGGGGGTGTTTATACTCATGAGTTACCTTTTTCATCTTTTTTTCTCTTTAAAGAACCCGTCTTCAACCAGTTTTGTAACGACATTAAGATTTGTGTTTCAATTTTTTTATTTTGATTTGTATTCGGAACACTTATTTTATACCGTCACCGCTATGGGAAAAGCTACAATCGCCAATCTTCTATACAGACAGAGTTGTCGTCCTTTCCTCCTTAATCTCTCTGCACCCGGCTAATTTTGGTCGCATTTTGCGACCATGTCCGCGTTTATAATAAAAACGACCGACGACAGTTCCCGAAAGCATTATTTATCTTCTATTATGTTTCTTTTCCCAAATATATGAAAACACCCATGTGTTATCGTTATTTTCGTTCAATATTTCAATAAATAAAAGTAAAATAGTTCGCGGAAGGACATTGCATTTGTAGATCGGTTTAATATGTAAACAAACGCACATGTACTGGAAAATATGGAACCGAATGCACGTATTCAGGAATGTCTTCGTAAATATGACGAAAATATCATTTTGAAAGACAAACAATCTGAGTGCTTGAGTAACATTTTAAAAGGCAATGATGTAATTTGTAATTTACCGGTTGCCTATGGAAAATCTTTATGCTTTCATCTCCTGCCGAGCTTACTGAACGGGCTATAGTGTTGGTGGTTAATCCTTTGAACATTATTCAGAAAGACCAGCTCTCGTCTTTAAGAACACGTGGAATAACTGCTTGCAAACTAACATTTTCTTGCAATGTAGATGATGGAGAGGAAAATGAAATGGACTTGAAGGATTATTCATTAACAGATGTTGTTGAAGGGAAATATTCAATTATTTTATGCCATCCTGAGGCACTTTTCAATACAAAATCTGGACAAGAACTTCTCAGAAACAAGACATTTACCAGCAAAGTTCAGTGTGTGGTAATTGATGAATGTCACATTGTTGAAAAATGGTAAATATGCAATAGCTTTTTCGGGTAGTTTTTCTTTTTGGCCTAGGACCACCCCCCCCCCCCCTCCCCCCCTAAAAAAATACATATATATATATATATATATATATATATATATATATATAATAGATACAGAGTCTCCGGAAGAGTCTTCGTATGAGGGTTCGATTCCTTCCCAAGGCATATATACAGGTGACCATGACGCTGCTGCAAAGTTGAGCAGAGACTGCCTAGTGGCTCCGCGCAAGACTTGATCAGGGACCCTGTGTGTGTGTGCGTGAATTAGGGAAAATCTATCCTTCTGTCTGTTTCATATATTTCCTAGGCGAGAAAAAATATTTTTTGCATGTTCATATGAAAAGAAGATGTGGTATGATTGCCAATGAGACATTTCTCCACAAGAGACCAAAAGACACAGAAATTAACAACTATAGGTCACCATACGGCCTTCAACAATGAACAAAGCCCATACCGCATAGTCAGCTTTAAATGGCACCAAATGACAATGTAAAACAATTCAAACGAGAAAATTAACGGCCTAATTTATGTAAAATAAAAAACTAGATGTGTCGGAACGACACGAATGGCCCTGTTTCAAAAAGTTGATAAATCTGCAATTTCAACAACACATGTGGACACAAACATGCATGGATAGTATCAAGCTCTCAAGACCAATACTAGTTTGATGAAAAATTTCCTTGATCAATGAGTAATTAAATTTCAAACTATCAGGAAACAGGAAGTGGATGTACTGCAGATCTAACAAGATGTGTTGAAACGACATGAAAATTAGCATAGCGAAACGAAACATAAACTTGATCTGTAACTCATCATGGTTAACTCACATACCAAAAATCAGCCCAATATCTGAAGGCGTTTAGAAAAAAAGTCCGTATAACTGTGATTTTCAACAATTTATCAAAGTCCAAAGCCCGTAATTTCGGCAAAAATTAGGGGAGCAGAACTAAACTTAAACT